TTATTTTAATTTGACCAGAGAGAGAGAGAGAGAGAGAGAGAAAGAGAGAAAGAGAGAGAAAGAGAGAAAGCAAGCTGCCAGGTCTGGGACTTGAACTGCAGCTGGCCATGTGGGAGTCCAGTGCTCTTAACCACCACACTATCTGCCAGCCCTGAATCTTGTTGCTTTATAGCCTTTTTTGGGCAGTCTCCACCCCGGTCCCCAAGCTTGCTTGCTGCCTGGGCAGACCTCCCTGTGGTGGCCCGGCCTCCCCTTTGGCCACCCCCAGTGCTGTCCTACAAGGCCCAGAGTATAAATAGCACTTCCTGTCCCCGTGCCTTTTTTTCGCAAGGCTAGCCGGGGTGGGGGTGGGGTCTGCCTTGGCCCAGGCGTGGCCTTTGTGAAGCCACACAGAGGTGTCTCGGGAGAGGAGGCCAGGCTCCTCGCTTCTGAGTGTCCCCCTCACCCTCTCTCTCACCAGATGACTCTGACTACGATGAGGCCCCAGAGGAGGGGCCGGGGGCCCCAGCCAGCGTGATGGCCAAGAAGGTGGGGCAGGGCAGTGAGCAGGGTTTAGGCCTGCGCCTTTCCGTGTGGTGGGAGGGCTGCCAGCTTGCTGTTAGACCCTGGGGACCAGCGACTAGACAGTGGGCAGGCATTTCCCGGGAGAGTCCTTGTCCCCCACTTCTTACCTTGCTTTCCAGGGCCAGGGCCGAGCACAGCCCTAGAACCAGAGCCAGAACCTAGGCCCGAGGTCTGGGGCTCTGGTCTGTAGCTCCCACTCAGGGTTTGGCCACGCGGGATGGGAGTGTGTGGCCTCCCGTTTCCTGTTCTGGGCACCTTCGCGTTGGAGTGTCTGTCCCTGTGTTTCACTTTCTGTGTCCCACGTCACCTCTCTGTGAGGGTTTGTCTTGCCTTTCCAGCCCCGAGTCTTCCTCTATCCCTTTATCTTTCTGTCTTTGTCTCTGTCCTAGGTCCATGTCTGCCACTGGTTCTCCTGTCCCTGTGACTCGGGGCCCTGTGTGGTCCCTGCTGGTGGGGGTGGGGCAGGGTGAGGAAACAGAAGTAAAAGTGCTGATTCCCGTGGGTCGGGATGGCGTGGACAGGGGCATGGTTCCCTGGGGTGGGGGGTGATCGGCACTGCCAGAGAAGTGTGACACTGAGTGGGTCTGGGGGCAGGACGAGCCCCCTCCGAGCCAAGTCCCACGGGCCGTGCGAGTGGCCAGTCTGCTGAGCGAGGGGGAGGAGCTGTCTGAGGACGACCAAGGGGATGAGGATGACGACGGCCACCCCTATGAGGATGTCCCAAAGTGAGTGCCCCTCCTCTCTGTGGTCCCCCACCGGGCTGCCCTCCTTCCTGAAGCCCCACCCTGCCCCACCCCTGCTTCCATCCCAGCCCGGCCCCCCTGCACACCCTCTCTCTCCTAGTGGTGAGTGGCATACCAGCAGCCTGAGCTTGCCCTTGGCCTGCCGGATCCCCGAGCCCCCACTACACCCCATGGACTGGCTGCCCGGGGGCCCCACGCCCCTCACACCAGTCATCAAGGCAGGGTGGCTGGACAAGAACCCTCCGCAGGGGTGAGTGAGGCCTCTCGGGTCTGCTGGTGCTCTCGTGGGGGAGGGAAGTGCCCCAGGACACTGGTATCGTGGATCCAAAGACCAGAGGGGCCCAGGGTTATCAGATCAGGTCTCCTCCCAGACAGATCGAAGCCAGCCGTCACCTCCCTAGACTTGCGTTGGTGACGTCAAGTCCCAACACCTTATCTGACTCAGAGTCAGATCGAGTCTGACGTTCATTGCTCTTGCTGTAGGCAGTCCATCTTCTTTTTTTTTGGGGGGGGGAGGTCTTTGTTATATGGTGCATGCCCCAGGACACTGGTATCGTGGATCCAAAGACCAGAGGGGCCCAGGGTTATCAGATCAGGTCTCCTCCCAGACAGATCGAAGCCAGCCGTCACCTCCCTAGACTTGCGTTGGTGACGTCAAGTCCCAACACCTTATCTGACTCAGAGTCAGATCGAGTCTGACGTTCATTGCTCTTGCTGTAGGCAGTCCATCTTCTTTTTTTTTGGGGGGGGGAGGTCTTTGCTATAGGGTGCATGCTCTCGCCAGAAAGACAGAGACAGACAGAAAGTGAGAAATCTCCTCCCAGGGGGGATGGCCACGCCGCAATCCCTTCTCCTTCATTCTCCTCTCAGGATCTTGGGCACGCGCACACACACACGCGCCTGGCGTGAGTTTAAGCCACCGGGTTCGGACATGAACCGCGGTTGGCTACATGGGAGTCCAGCGACATAGCCATTATGCTAACTGCTGGTCCCTAGGCAGTCCATCTTCTCAGTGGCCATTTGGGGTCTCACTCCCTTGGATTGGCTCATCCTAGCTGTGTGTGGCTGCTGGGGTGCAGGGGGCTGGGGTAATCCGGGAGTCTCCCCAATCCCCATTCTTGGTTCCATGTTCCCGCTGCCTCTCCAGATCTTACATCTACCAGAAGCGGTGGGTGAGACTGGACGCCGATCACCTGCGATACTTCGATAGTAACAAGGTGGGCCTGCATTAGCCCTGACGTGACCCCAGCTTCAGCCCAGGCCTAGACTGAACTCCAGCACTGGACCTGGCTGGAGGCCCTCCCTGTTTTTCCTTGACAGAGCTCCCGTTTGACTCTCTAAACCATGTGCTCCTGGGCCGTGGGCAGATTCAGCCCAGGGTCTGTCCCTGAGCACCTGCAGGGGACAGAGCTGCAGTCTTCATTTCAGTGGAGACTGGGGGAAGTCCAGGAGAGGCTGGGCCTCTGGGCACCCCACTACACCCACCCCAAGATACAGCTTCTCTCCCTTCTCCAGGATGCCTACTCTAAGCGATTTGTCTCTGTGGCCTGCATCTCTCGTGTCACTGCCATCGGGGACCAGAAATTTGAAGTGATAACAAACAATCGGACTTTTGCCTTCCGGGCAGAAAGCGATGGTGGGCAGTTGGGGTGTGCATGTGTGCGCGCGCGTTTGTGTGTGCATGTGCACAGAGGGAGAGAAGGTGGGAAGTTTGTTCAGATGGGGGAGGAGAAGCACACATGTCACACCCAGGGGGTTGTCGCCCTTCTGTGAGATGTGGAGGGAGGGGACCTTCTCTGTGATGGCTCTCAGTACCACACGTTGCCATTTCAGGTGACATGACTTGCCTAGGGTCAGTGGCCCTGGGACTGGAGCCCTAGCTGGTCCAAGCCAGAGAACCCGCCCAGGCTAGGTGGGCCAGTCTGGGTGGGCGTGCTGGCAGAGGCGTTGCCAAGAGGCCTAGGGCGGGAGGCCCTGAGCCGCTGTGGTCGGGGCTGACACCTTTGCCCTCCTCCCGCAGCGGAGCGGAAGGAGTGGATGCAGGCCCTGCAACAGGCTGTGGCTGAGCAGCGTGCCCGGGCCCGGCTGTCTAGCGCTAACCTGTTGGGGGTTCGAGGCCCAGAGCAGCCCGACCATGCTGGCAGCCTGGAGCTGCGTGGCTTCAAGAATAAGCTGTATGTGGCTGTGGTCGGGGACAAAGTGCAGCTCTACAAGAATCTGGAGGTGCGAAGGGTCTGCCGGCCACGGACCTACTGCCCTGCCCTATGCCCTCAACCCTGACCCTTGAACCTGCCCTGGAGCCCATCTATCGGTTCCTTCCCGCACTGAGGTTAGCCTTTGCCTGCCAACCCCCACCCCTGCTTTAGACACAACCTCCACCTAGTCCTTGACTGCCACCCTCCGGTCGCCGCCCTGGCGCCTGCACCCACTACTCATTGCTCTGTGGACTGCGAACCCAGATTTCTGAGTCCCCCTTACCTCCTTCCTAGGCACTCTCTGGTCCCTCAGGTACCACCTCCCTTCCTCTCCCCTCTCTTGAGCCTTAAACCCTGCCCTCATCCCTTGCCGCCCACTGCCAGGAGTACCACCTGGGCATCGGCATCACCTTCATCGACATGAGCGTGGGCAACGTGAAGGAGGCAGACCGGCGTGGCTTCGACCTCACCACCCCCTACCGCATCTTCAGGTGAGCCCGCTGCACCCCGGCCCCCAGTGCTTTCTCGTTGTCTAGTGTGGGGTGTGTGTGCATGTGTATGTGTGCGTATGTGTGCATGTGTGTGCATATGTGTGCACAGAGGGAGAGAAGGTGGGAAGCACCCCTTCTCTTCTCATGCTCCCCAGCCCCGCCCACCCACATGAGTCCTCTACAGTCACCGCCTGCCCTGATCTCTCCCTCGGAAGCCTCCCTCCCTCTGCCATCCCCACCTGCTGTCTGCCTCACCGCTCGTGGCCTCGGACTTGCCCAGGCTGGCTATCTGCACTCACCACCTGTGCCCTGCCGCCCCCCCACACCCTACACTCTTGCAAGTGTTTTCCTGTCACAAGCACCTCTCATCACCGAAGGCTGCTCTCCTTGTCTTGGAGTCTCGTCCTGGGTGCTCCTGCCTGAGCCTCTTGTCCTGGGCTCCTCTGACCTCAGCTATCCCTCAGCATCTGTCTCTGCTCTCTGCCCACTCCCCAGTCTTTTAGTTACCACCTCTAGGAGTGTGCTGTCCCTGGGTTCAAATCCTGGCTCCACCACTGACTAGCCATGTGACCTAGGACCTCACTTGGCCACTGTGTGCCTCAGTGTCCCGGAGGCCGAGGGTCTTCGTAACTGTGCAGTTAGAGCTCCGTAAACAGCAGCCTCATCACT